TTTTAACTAAAATAAAATTATGGTTCTATAAAAAATCAACAATTTCACGTTATCCATAATGATGGTTGATTAAATGAGTTGAACAAATATATACATCTTCTTTACTATAAGTAATGTAGATATATAGTAAAGACTAATAGAGACTCAAAAGTGCAAATATTTATGAAAGTAAATAATAATAATAATAATAATAATAATAATAATAATAATAATAATAATAATAATAATAATAAAATGAGGTGTTTAAAGAGCAAATTCATCAAAAATTATTTTAATGGGATACAATGAAAAATACAAATTTAAAACAAAAAGAAGAAGGAAAATAATATTTAAAATACAATTAAAGAAAATAAAAAAAGAGCTGAAAATACAATTTATTTAAAGAAGACGAAGGACGAAAATAACATTTAAAATACAATTAAAGAAAATGGAAAGGAAAAAAGCTGAAAAATACAATTTTTTTTATAAAAAAAAGCTTGAAAGCAATTCAAAAATATTTTAATGAAAAAAATACAATTTTAAAAAACCTTAAAGCAAGCAAGCAAAGTTAAAAAAAAAAAAAAAAAAAAAAAAAAAAAAAAAAAAAAAAAAAGCAAGCAAGCAAATAGTTGAAGTACTAAAACTCAAGAACCTCATCCGCTCTTCTTTATATAGTAAAAGATATAGCCATAGGGAAATTAACTAATTAAGTTCACGTGTTTTTACGTAAAATTATGTTTAATTAACTTAGTTGTTAAAGTACAAATAATTAAGTTGAGGTGTTTTGACATAAAATTATGTTTAATTAACTTATGAATCTAATGTAAACGAAAATGCAAAACATTAAATTAATGAGCAAAATCCACCACCATATATATTGGAAAAAAGACAATAATAAAGAACAAAATTTACTAAATTCAACTTAATCAAAAAAATAAATCAAATAAACAAATAAGAGTTGTTTATAAATGATAATAAGCGTTGTCGAGCCACAACTTCGCATAAATAAAGTGGTAGACTCTGTCTTTTTGTGGGACTCGCGTGGGGTCTACCTGTGTATTTAGAAGTTGCAGTCTATAGTCCTACAGAGTTATATATGCCCGTTTATTTGACTAATTTGAGTTTTGTTACAGTTTAAAACTTTCAGAAACAGTCACATTTAACTTTTTTGTTACAGTAAAAAACTCTCACAAAAAATTACATTCCAATTCAAATTAGAAACTCGAATCAGCGAACTAAACGAGCTCATAATAGTACTATAAATTATTTTCGTAAGGCATATAAAATTCATGGAAGAATGAGAGTAATAGAGCAAAATTTACTAAATTTAACCCAAGCAACTAAATAAATCAAATAAATAAATAATAATTGAGTTGTTCAAAAATGATAATAAGCTTCGTGAAATCACAGTTCCGCAGAAATAAAGCGGAAGACCCCACTTCATGTGGGACCCACAAAGGGTCCACATGTGTATCTTGAAGAATTGCAGCTTTATAGCACTGTAATACTACAATAGGGGTTGTTATTTTGCAACAAAATTTAAAAAAAATTTAAACTCGATTTACAATTTTATTTAAATTCGTGTTTTTTTTTATTTTATAAAATTTGAGTTTGAACTTGAGTTTGAATTCGAATTTGAACTTGAGTTTGGAGCAAAATTCGAGTTCAAGTTTTCCTTTCAACTCGAGTTCATAAACTCAAATTCAAGTTAATGAACAGTGTTTTTTCTATTTTTAAAAATGTCATAACTTTTTCGTTTTAATTCTGATTGAAATGATTTTGTTTCTATGCATTCACAATGAAAAGACAAGTAAAACCCTACCCATATACCCTATTTAAATTTTTTATCACCATTAAGTTTTTATTAAAATACTATATAAATACAAATTTAAGTTTTGACTCACTCAAACACAAACTCAAAAAGATTTTCAATTTAAATGTGCACATCCAAACACAAACTCAAGTTACAACTTCAACTCAAGTTATAACTCAAACTCAACTCAAGATCATCACTCAAGTCACTTTAACTCAAAAATGCAAAAAACAACCCCGTAGTGCTTTAAGTTGTTTTCTTAAGGGAGATAAAACTAATGGAAATTTGAGGGTAAGATGCATATCAACATTAAATTGTCGTGCCTAATGACATGGAACAAAGCCAAGCCATAGTGCTCTCCCTACTTGTAAATTGCAATAATTTTGGTTTTTGTTTTTTTTGTTTTTTACTTTCGTCATCCTTTTTCCCGAACACACTATACTCAAAAAGGATTATACACCATGTTATACTTAAATTATATTAATTATTAATAATAATCCAACCCTCTCTCGAAATATTAATTTATAGGGGTTGTTCTTTTGGAGTGTAACTTGAGTGTAGTTTTTGAGTTGAATTTGAGTTATAACTTGAGTTGAAGTTGTAACTTGAATAAAGTTGAGTAAAGTTGAATAAAGTTGAAACTTAAAAGAATATGAACTTGAATAAAGTTGAAACTCAAGTTGTATTTTTTTGAATTTTTTAGACAAAAAAACAACTCCTAAGTAACTTGAATTGTGTTTTAATTAATAGCTCGTTTGATTCATATATCAATATAAACATTTAAATTTTTGTTAAAGAATATTATAATTAAAAGTTTGAATTGCATTAAAACTTATGAACCAAACAAAATGCTAAATAAGTGACACTATCAAGATAAGTATATTATGATTAATACCACTAATCGTGGGGCATAATAACGACCGGCCAAGAGCTCTCTCACTTAAAATCTATCAATTGTCACTTTTATAGTGAGATGTATAATTATACATCTCACCAACTTACCAAACATGACTCCCAACACAACCCATTAAAATATTACTCTGAACTCCCGTTTTTCTCTAAAGAAAATTTAAAAAAAAAAACATATTACGCTCGGGTAGGTGGACACAACACAATGCATATTTCCACATGCACTTACGATGAGCATTTACGTACCACAAAAAAAAAAAAAAAAAAAAAATCCATTGCATATTCGCTTTTCTATTTTACCTCATCAACTTCTCTTCAAAACACATTAAATCCGAAAATTCTTCACTAACCCGGTTATGCCCGTAAAGTTCTTGGTAATTATAATCCGTACTTACTCAATTTTATCTCAAAGATATTTTCATTTATTTCGCTCATTCGAGTTTAAAATTTAAATTTTATTATAATAAAAAGCTCTTAGAAACAATCATATCTAACTTTTTTATTATAATAAAAAATTTTCACATAACATCACATTTTAATTTAAATTAAAAATTTCAAAGATATTTTCATTTATTTCGCTCATTCGAGTTTAAAATTTAAATTTTGTTATAATAAAAAGCTCTTAGAAACAATCATATCTAATTTTTTTTATTATAATAAAAAATTTTCACATAACATCACATTTTAATTTAAATTAAAAATTCAAATTAAGGAACTGAATGAGCCTTAGTCCACTTTAAGCTAGAACATCGAAAGTGAGAGTGTGCTAAAAAGGAAAGTCGGGTCTTTAATTGTCACACAGATGAGGTTTATGATTGGCTGCTAGGTCCACACTTCTAAACATGTCACGCTTCATCCTTCCTAAACAACAAGGACGTTATTTTTGCACACTCCACTTTCTTCTTTTGTCCCATGCCGTCACCACATGATAGATTTTTTCTCTTTTGTTCCATAAAAAAAAAATGACGATAGAAGTCGTTGGAAGAGACATGGAAACCCCAAATCGTCACACGTGTAAGAGAATCATTGAAAGAAAAAAATAAAAAAAAAATAATTGTTGGGGAAAGTGGACAACTTTTTTATGACATATTTATGTAATCAGAGTAGTTGACATGATTTAAAATAGACAGAAATTAAAATTAAAAATTAAAATCAGAATAAATTATTTATTTAAGTTTCACGAATTATAGTCGAAATTAGTCTTAATTTTATTCATGTGTTTATTTAGACTTAGAATTAGAATAAATTATTATAGATTTACTTACCTACTCTTTTAGTAGATTTATTTGTGTTGAACTTTTTTTAAAAAAAATAATTTGTATATTATGCTATCTTAATATTAAGATAACTAATTAGTAATTAAATTTTTTTAATCATACATAATTACACCCATATTTTTTTAATTAGTAATTAGAAATTCTAATGGCCTCGATCTCCATGAATCCTTGAAATGATGTTGTGCAATCAATAGGTAAAACATAGTTTGATTACAGATTTAACAAATAAATATAAAAAACAAATAAATAAATAAACTTGCGATTCAATAAAAAAAATCACAATGATTTATGTTATTGACTCACCTTGAAGAGAAGAAAGATGCTCTTGATTGTTGTGGATGCAATACTGTGTTTTGAGGAGAAGAAAATATCAGAGAAAGTAAACAAAGAGATACAAGATGCTTAAAAATAAATTAGAACATTTTTAATTTTGTACTTTTTACTTTTCTATTCATAAATTTATTAGTAGAATTAAAGATAAAATTACAATTCATATTTACTATTAAAATTAAGAGTATTAATTGATAGGAGTGAAAAGAGTATTAATCTCATTTTTTAACCCTAAATTAATATGAGATTTATATATTTTTATTCTTATTTTAAGATAAAAATAAATAAGTAAATACGAAGTTAATTTCAAGATTCTCATTTACCACTCTCGAAACATGCCACTAGTGGGGTCGTTTCAACCTAACATCATAGTACGACACGTAGAGGCTCAGATATTTCGAGCCACGAAGAAAGATATTTCCGAATCTGGGTCCAAGACACGGGACACGTGGCGATTTCCACCCGCTTTAATCCAAACTTCTGATGCCATTCCTCGATTACCTCCCACTGTCTTTGAGCAATACAAAGCGAACACGTTTCACCTAACGAATTGAAAGATGACACGTATCATGGTCCTGTCGCGTCTACGGCTGTTTTTCAGCCGATTAAGGCCACGTGTCAATGGCTTCCCTCATAGTCGCCTATTTATATAATCCCTCGTTAGGTCGTCGTCTTCTTTGCCATGGCAAGATTAAAAAAATGAGTGAGAGGAACCAGAGGTTGAGACCAAGCCCAGCGAGTCAGGGATCGGACTCGGCCGAGTCGGGGATACTCAACGAGAGAATATTAATCCTCGTGTTCAAGTCTATAAAGTGGGATATCCACACGCTCTGCCTCGCCGCGTCGGTGAACCGGAAGCTCCGAGCGGTGGCGAATCGGCTGTTATGGCGGGAGCTGTGCTTATTCCGCGCTCCGCGCATGTTATTAGCATTGACTAACGGTGCGCCGAACAACCGCATTGAGGGCGGGTGGCAAACACTCGCGAAGCTGATGTTCTTCTGCTGCGGGTGCGTGTCGAGCACGCGGCACTTTAGGGTGAGCAGGCCGTTGCAGGGGCACTTCGTGAAGGCGTCGCGGTTCTCGAAGACTTCGGGTCGGAGCTTCTTGCCGAAGGCTTGTCGGGGCGACATGCTGTTCATGAGCGACCCGTGCGAGCACCCGATGGGGACCGACGGCGGCAAATCGGAGGACGATTTGGGGATCTACAGAGGCGTGTTCTGCGGGTTCATGAGATCCAGGACCAGGGCGTGTTTGATCAGACGGCAGGTGGGGCTCGAGGAGAGGCTCCGGTGTCCCTACTGCGGGGCCCGCGTGTGGAGCATGACGTCGGCTCGGCTCGTCCCCAAAAGCGCTGCTCGGAGGCTCGGCTCTCGTGACGGCGGTTTGGAGTACTTCGTCTGCGTCAACGGCCACTTACATGGGGCCTGCTGGCTCGTTCCGTTGTCCGACGACGATAACGATGAAGAAGGAGGAGAAGAAGAAGACGGAAGCGACGATGATTGTGGAGGTGAAGGCGGGGCCCAGGGAGTTGGTTGTGAATCTTGTGATGAATATTGGACGGTGGAGAATGGGAAAAAGGTCTCGAGGCGATACTGTGATGATGATGATGGTGATGATCATCAGGAAGCTGTTGGGGATGGGCCCGTTAATTAGCATTTCTTCGTTTTACCGATATTAGCATTTATATGAATTTTTAATTTTTAAGTTTTTATCATTAAATTTTTTTTTAAAATATCACAAGTTAAAATTTTTAAAAAAATATTAAAAGTAATTTTTTATAAAATTTTTTAATTTTAATAAAATTAAAATTAAAAATTTAAATCGATAAAATAAATGAGATTTTATTTTAACGGGGTTTTGGTTCTAATTCAACAGAGGATGAAGATTTTTCGTTGACTTGGGAGCAACGAATTTTAACGTTTAGGATCAGATATTTTTGTTCATATGAGTTGGAAAATATGAGAGGATGATTCTGTATACTTTCCGTAATTTTGTTTTTTTCCCTCCCTCCAATTTTAACTTCCCTTTATTCTCGTGTGGCGATTGTATATTATTATTATTATTATTTTTGTCATTTGGCAATGTAAGGGAGGGAAATTTGGACGAGGAGATTTATGAAATTTGTGTGGGAAGCTGGCTTTCAGTATTTTCTTTATGTAAATTGTTATTTTCGAAATGAATTAATGGATCGCTAGCTTGTACGTGCTATCTAAAAGCATGCGATAATTAAGGACATGTTTAGTTAATAAATTAAAATTAGAAGATTAAAATTATTTTTGATTCATATATTTTTTTAAGAGAAAATATTGTAACGAATTATGAATCATAATTTAAATTAGAGTATAAATCTTCCAACCAAGCCAAACAACTCTTAAATGTCCATGAATAAACGACGTTTAATGTATGTTCTATTATCACATAACCACTTTAATTATCATTATATTATAGGAAAGCAGAAGACAGATGGCAATATTTCTGAATTTGAAATTTTTTCGTATGAGCATGGACCATGTGTGATGTACCTCTCTTGAGCTTATACTGCAGAGTGCAGAGTCCCACGTGTCAGTGTTTTTCTTCTTTTGAGTATGCCCTAACTTATCTGTGTTGTTCTCTCTTTTGTTTGGATTCTCGATTCACATACAAATTGTCTTATTTTTATTTGTTATTTGCTGCCATATAGCAGGGGAGTAAAAGGAAAAGAAAAAGTTTTTGGGAGTTTGTATGCTTTTTTATGCAATGTTAACATGGAAGAAAAATCAATCTTTCCGTCTTTTGTTGTCTTTAATCTTGGTTTTAGTTCTATTGCCCATAACTACTATGGCCGTGACGTTTTTCTTCCTTACATTGTGATTGGTTTCTAAATTATAAATCGTTTCTCTCATTTCTTTTTATCAATCCGTTCACTTGGCTGATTCGAGTTTGTAATTCGAGTTGAGATGTGATTTTATATGAAAATTTTTTACTGTAGTAAAAAAGTTAGATGTGACTGTTTTTGAGAATTTTTTACTGTAATAAAATTTAAATTCTAAACTCGAATTGGTAAAGTGAACAAGATCATGTGTTTTTGCTGTCGTTTCCCCATTTTGTTACCTGGCTTCCTGTTTTACTTTCCTCAAATTTATTGACGTTCTTTGCTTTTCTTCAGAATGTTGTGGCCCGTAGGTTTTTAAATTTATATTCGTTTTCCAATTTTGTGGTTTTCATTGTCGTTTTTTCATTTAAGTGTCATTTTCACATTATTTTTGTATTGAAAGTATAAGTTTTTTTCTTGTTATTTATTTTTATCGATTCCCAATTTTGCGATTTTCATTGTCGTTTTTTCGTTTAAGAGTCATTTTCACATTATCGTTGTACTTTTTTTTTTGAGCAACACATTATTGTTGTACTTGAAAGTATAAGGGCATGTTATTTTTGTCTAAAAAACTTAAAAAAGACAACTCAAATTTTAACTTTATTTAAGTTCACGTTATTTTAAGTTTTAACTTTATTTAATTTTACTCAACTTTATTCAAGTTCTAACTTCAGCTCAAATTTGGCTTGTTCGCTTGGAGTTTAACTTGAGTATTCTTGAGTTGAATTTGAGTTATAACTTGAGTTAAACTTGTAGTCCCGTTCACTTCGCTGATTCGAGTTGAGATGTGATTTTATGTGAGAGTTTTTTATTTTAGCAAAAAAGTTAAATGTGATTGTTTGTGAGAGCTTTTTACTGTAGAAAAACTCGAATTCTAAACTCGAATATGCGAAGTGAACAGGGCCTATTTGGTTGTGTACATTTGAGTTATGGTTTGAGATAAGAATATTTTTGAGTTTGTGTTTGAGTGAGTCAAAACTTGAATTTGTATTTAGATAGTATTTTAATAAAAACTCAATGCTGATGAAAAATTTTAATAGGGTATATGGTCGGGTTTTATTCGTCTTTTCGTTGTCAACGCATAGAAAAAAAATCATCTCAATCAGAATTAAAACGAAAAAGTTATAACATTTTTAAGAATATAAAAAATACTGTAATGTAATTTGAGTTCGAGTTTCTGAACTCGAGTTGAAAGGAAAACTTGAACTCGAGTTGAAAGGAAAACTTGAACTCGAATTTTAGTCATAAACTCGAGTTTAAACTTTAAAGAACATGAACTCGAATAAAATTGTAACTCGAGTTATCTTTTTTTGAGTTTTTCACTCAAAAGAACAAGCCTCTTATAACTCAAATTCAACTCAAAACTACACTTAAGTTATACTCTAAAGCTCCGTTCACTTCGCTGATTCAAGTTTAGAATTCGAGTTTAGATGTGACTTTATGTGAAAATTTTTTACTGTAACAAAAAAGTTAGATGTGATTATTTGTAAGAGCTTTTTACTGTAGAAAAACTTGAATTCTAAACTCGAATTAGCGAGCCTCTGCTCTTGTTTCGAATTTTTATGTCGTTTTTTCTGTTTTGCTGTACCCTATATTTTTCCTGTCGTCCCCACTGTCTCGTTGTCGTATTTCTATGACTTACGTTTTTATGACTATTTTTTATTGTTCTGTTCTTTTACTGCTATTTTATTTCATTGATATTTATTTATATCTAGTTATTCTGTTTATAATATTTACATTTGTTGTCATTAGTAATATTTTCAAAAAAAAAAAAATTAATATTGATTTTTCATTAATTAATTTTTGAAAAATCCCAAAAAAAGGAGAGGGTCATTTTGGTCAAAAAATAGATTCAAATGTACCGGTAACATTGCGAGCGCGATTGTAGCGAGACCAAACACGCTTCCGAGCTTGTTGGCGCCATTGGAAAACTCTTTCTGATCGCTAATCTCCACCAAATGTGTACCTCAACGCCCTTCACTGCTCTTCTAAATCTTATCGTCTTCAATTTCGCAGAATCCAGAGCCGCCACTCTGATTCTAGGTCTGGTTTTGGAGATTCCTTGTTTTGGGATTTGCTTGTGTTGATTTGTCAATCTGACCATGAATTTTACATATTTTTTTTTAGGGTTTATGCAAAACATATTTTACTATCTTACGTTTAATTTATGCTTCCGGTGATAATAATTCCACACACAATTTCTTTTGATACAAACGATTTTAGAATTGAAAGAAATTCCATAGCGTCTGATTTTGATCAGTCTAATGAAGACCGAATTTCGCTTTTTGGCCTATTCAAAGGAGCCGAATTAGTATTTGCATAAAGTTTAATTTTCTAAAATTACTTGAATCATAATATCAATTTCGTAGCATATAATGTGTGGTCATAGGAATTGAAATGCTCTCTCACAGCAGGAAATCTTGACGTCTCCACAGAGGGCGAAAAATGGCGTCTCTTCAAGATGTTAGCATGTCCGCGGCCATTAACATCTTGTCTGCATTTGCATTCCTTGTCGCTTTTGCTCTTCTGCGGCTTCAACCAATCAATGATAGAGTGTACTTCCCCAAGTGGTATCTCAAGGGGATTAGAGGAAGCCCAACTCGCTCTGGAGCCCTTGTGAGCAACTTTGTCAATTTGGACTTCAAAACATACGTTAAGTTTCTCAATTGGATGCCCGCAGCATTGAGCATGACTGAAGCGGAGATTACCGATCACGCCGGGCTTGATTCGGCCGTGTTCATTCGGATTTACCTACTTGGGTACGTGCACTTCCAGGGTGGAGTTTAGTTTTCCTTCAGGAATCTGCAAAAAATGTATCCTTTCTTTTGTATGTTTTAACTCTGCTAAAGACTAATTTGACCGTTTGCTTCACCTTTCTTTTTGGTGTTAATTTACTAGAGACAGAAATAGGTTGTATATGTGTGTGTGTGTGTGTGTGTGTGTATATATATACATATTTTGCTTACTATTGCATTATCTTTCGATGTGGACACAGTCAAGGATATGAATCCGGTTAATAACGGTATTACCAAGTTGATTACCTGATGTTTTCGTTCTTTTATGTTGCAGCTTGAAAATTTTCATCCCCATAACCTTGCTTGCTCTTGTTGTTTTAGTGCCTGTCAATTGGACGGGTAACACATTGGAAGGGATAAAAGATTTAACTTTTAGCAACATTGACAAACTCTCAATATCCAACGTTCCATCTGGATCAAAAAGGTAAGAGTTGATTTTGTCTTTTTTTTCACTTTTAGGCATGGAATTCCTTTTTTTTTTTAAAAAAAAAAAAAAAATGAAGATCGCGACACATTATGCTTTGGTCTGTTAGCTGTCAAATAGGAGGGACGGAAAAAAAGAGAAGAAAAGAGAGATTTTAGTTACACAGTCCATATTCTATGTATCAGAATATTAAATTTCAGTTGCGGTAGGCAATATTTACAAGGACTCTCCTAATTATATTTTGCTTTTCTGCTAAGAATATTAGGTTTCTTTTTCCCGATCTTTATAAAGATAAGATCTTATGTTGTTCCAATAACAGGTCCAAAGTGAATGTCAGGTTCCTTATTTATGAATAATAAAACTGTCACGTTACTTCCAGGTTTTGGGCTCATCTGGTAATGTCATATGTCTTCTCATATTGGACGTGCTATATTTTATATCATGAATACAAGAGGATAGCTTCCATGAGGCTTCGATATTTAGCATCTGAAAATCGTCGTCCAGATCAATTTACGGTGAGGTTACCCTGAATGTGGCCCGTCACTTTTTTATTTATTTATTTTTTATTTTTTGTAATTAAATTAGACATTAGTTAGTTCTTTACATTTTGGTTTTGTCCAACTCCCAGGTACTTGTGAAGAATGTTCCCCCAGATCCCGATGAATCAATCAGTGAACATGTTGAACATTTCTTTTGTGTAAACCATCCAGAACATTATCTTTTGCATCAAGTATGTATCCTTATACCGAGTTTTGCCAACTAACTATTTTATGCTTCAAGTTTAACTGGTGAAGGAAGCAACACAAAAAGCTTTAAAAGTAGTCAAACAAAATAGAAAAGAATAATTATACCGACTTCTTTTCATGTTTTGCGGTATACATTTCATGCATTTAGCATTCCCGCTATATGTTTTCAGTTAGATGTAGTCTTTCCATAAAGTATTTTTTTGATGTTTTTTCAAATTGCAGGTTGTATATAATGCAAATAACCTTGCAAAGTTGGTTGCAAAGAAGAAGAGTCTGCATAATTGGCTTGTCTATTACCAAAATAAGTACGAGAGAAATCCTATAAAGAGGCCTACCACAAAGGTTTTCTTACATAATATCCTGAGATTTCTGAACTGCATATTTTTTATCATCATATCTTTCTAACCGTATTTTTCAGTTAATGTTTTGTGACGTCTTATAGACAGGTTTCTGGGGCCTTTGGGGAAATAGAGTGGATGCCATTGACTATTATACTGCTGAGATTGAGAAGTTGACCCTAGAAGTTAGTATTATTTTCTTATCAAAAGCAAAAAAAGAAATAAATTTCTTTTATAATTCCTCTATTCAAAGTTCTCTTCCCCACTTTAACGAATATAGGAAAAAACTAATGGTGGATGCTATTTGTTTGATCTGTTCTGGACGTATAATGGTACATGTCTTGTGCAGGAAAATGCAGAAAGAGAAAGGGTTACAAGTGATCCAAAAGCTAAGGTTCCTGCAGCATTTGTTTCGTTTAAAACACGATGGGGAGCCGCGGTTTGTGCCCAAACTCAGCAATCAAGTAATCCTACAATCTGGTTGACAGAGTGGGCTCCTCAGCCACGTGATGTCTTTTGGGACAATCTTTCAATTCCGTATTTTGAACTCAGCATCCGAAGATTGCTCATGAGTGTTGGTCTCTTTTTCCTTATCTTTTTCTTTATGATTCCGATAGCTTTTGTTCAATCTCTAGCCAACATTGAGGGAATTATGAAGGTTCTTCCTTTCTTGAAGCCACTAATAGAGAAGTAAGTGCCTTCTACCTTTTTTTTATACAACACATATTTTGGCAAAACTTTCCTGCTAATGTTTTGCTGCCGCCTGTTTGTTATTTGCTCATGACCGAAGCATCAAATGCTGGAAATTCTTGTTTCAGGAAGGTTGTCAAGTCCGTTATCCAAGGATTTCTTCCGGGCATAGCATTAAAGATATTCCTTATTCTACTTCCAACAATTCTCATGACTATGTCCAGAATAGAAGGTTTTGCCTCGTTATCGTCTCTGGAAAGGAGATCGGCTGAGAAGTATCATTTGTTCATACTTGTCAATGTATTTCTTGGAAGTATTGTTACTGGAACAGCATTTCAGCAGCTTGAGAAATTTATAAATGAACCTTCAACAGAGTAATCATGCATCTTTTCACAACTTATATTCAGTTGAAAAAAGAAGAAGCATCTAGTACTTAATTCTTTTGTCAATAACATCATGAACTCTTTAAAATTGCACAATTTGGAGTTTTACATTGTTTATGTGTAATTAAGGAATTCCCCTCCACGTGAATGACTAAGATGCATGCTTTAAAAGTTTTATGAGGCAAGTTTTCATTGTTTTTTGTTTAAATATCTTTTGATTGTCTACCTAAATTTAGTTCCACTTTTTTGTTTCGAATCCTTGTGCTTCTTGTTCTTGTTCCTTGGTAGAAGGTTGATGAATTACCAGCAGCTTTGATTCAGTTGACATGTTTAGTACATTATCCTGCATCGGAATTCACAAAATTTTCTATTTAGTGATGAGATAATAATCTGACAGGAAATATTATGCTACTCCTACAGATTTACAAAAACTATTGGTGTCTCAATCCCGATGAAAGCAACGTTCTTCATGACTTATATAATGGTTGACGGTTGGGCTGGAATTGCTGCAGAGATCCTTAGATTGGTTCCTCTGGTTATCTTCCATCTCAAGAACACATTTTTGGTTAAGACAGAAGAAGATAGGGAGAAGGCAATGGATCCTGGTTGCTTGGACTTTGCTACATCAGAACCTAGGATTCAGTTCTATTTCTTGCTAGGACTTGTATATTCTGTTATCACGCCAGTGCTTCTTCCATTTATTGTGGTCTTCTTTGCCTTTTCCTTCATGGTTTTTCGTCATCAGGTGCGTCCACTCATACAGCGGTTGTCTATAATTTGAATACGTGCAAGTATAATCGTTCAATTATCTTTTGCAAATCTTCTTGTACCAAATTTATCTTTTGTGGTGCTATTTACCTCTTCTTCTTTTTCTTTTTATTTTTTGGCCAGATTATCAACGTTTATGACCAGAAATATGAGAGTGCTGCGGCCTTCTGGCCTCACGTGCATCGACGAGTAATTATTGGATTAATTATAGCTCAACTTCTTCTAATGGGATTGTTTAGCACGAAAGGCCTTGCAAAGTCAACATCATTGCTTATTGCACAACCTATTCTGACTATTTGGTTCCATAGATTCTGCAAGGGACGTTTTGAATCTGCATTCCTGAAATTTCCATTACAGGTTAGTGAGGAATCTACAAAAGAAAGTCTATTTTATGTCAAACTTGGGTTTTTACTTGGCTTCTCTTGGTCACCGGGGGGGTTTAGGTGGGGGTTGCGGGTTCAATTCCATATTGTATAAAAAAAAAAAAACAAAGAGTTAACATGAAAAATGATTCTATTTTCAATAAGATTTGCCGAAGAATTCTGATCATTATATGAGAACGATTCTCTTTTCAATGAACTTTGCTGACAGGACGCAATGGTGAAGGATACACTAGAACGGGCTACACAACCAAACCTCAATTTAAGAGCCTATCTTAAGGATGCTTACGTACATCCTGTCTTTAAGGGTGGGGAGTTGGAGAGACCCGTCGCCATTGATGAAGAAGAGAGCAATCCACTTGTAGCGACGAAGAGGAAGTCTTCCGGGAATAGTAGACATGGTTCTGAGACCGGCTCTGAAGCCGGTGTACGATTTTAGTGAAGTTCATTGACAGTGTCGTATAGTATAATCTTAATTCTGATCTGTCTAATTATAGTATTAGAAACATTTTTTATTTTATTTTTTATATTGTTTTCCATAAACATAGGAAAGATTCGTGTTAGAAATTCATTGCTCATCAACACGGTTAAAAATGAAAATGTTGATATGGTAAAAGTCTGCTAGACTTCTACTTGAGTGTATATATGCTTCTTCTTCTCTCCATTAATGATGTTCTCTAACCTCTGTTTTTGTCCCCTTAACTATTTGTTTTTAATGGGTACTCATGCTTTACTTTGTATTGGTATCTTTCATTCTTTGAAATAGTAGCTCGTTAGCTTAAAAAATGCAGCTAATAATGTCACGTAAAAGTCAAAAAAAAAAAAAAAAAAAGATTGATGAATTGGGAGTCATGAGTATATAATAACCCCAACCCAACCCAAAAAAAGTAACCCGTAGCATTATTTTTTAATTTTCGGCCCATTATACCTCCAATCCGAAGTGTTTGGGACGGATTATAAGTTGGGCCCATAACAACCTGCAACCCCCAATCCAACCCGCACAACACAGCCCAGGCTTAGTTTGGCCCATTAATATTACTTCCCGCCCGCGCTCTATCAGCCCAGCATTACTCACTCAGCCCAGCAGGCCTTCGGCCCATTCATTACCGCATTAGGGGCTAGGGCAGGCAAGGCAAACCACTCTCTCATTCTCGTCTCTTCCCAGTTCCCAGTTCCCAGTTCCCTCTCTAGTCTCTCGTGTCTCGGCCGGCGCCGCCCCTCTTCCCTCAGGCATTCAGTCTCACAACTCCCCTCAGGCCTTCAGTCTCAGTCGCCCCTCTCGTGTCTCATCTCGGAGTCGGAGCTGGAGGTAACGAAACCTCTCTCTCTCTCTCACTTCTTTCGCATCTCTATTTTTTTTTTTTTTAGTGTTTGTTTGGATTGAAAATTTGATTTCTCCTTTGATGTTTCTCGCTTCGTGATCGACTTGAAGAGTGGTTGGTTGATTGGAAGAGAATACCGGCGGATTGACAGAAGCTAGTGGTTGATCGGGTCTAGATCGGGAGAGGAAGAGTGGCTGGTCGATCCCTATTTCTTCCAGACCTTAGACTCTAAAGGTTAGTTTATTCGAGATTATGTACATTTGATTTGTTTTAATTGTACATTCGAGATTATGTTGGTTCTCTATGATTATATTGTGGCATTCGAGATAAGTGAATAAGTGAATTTAAGCATGGCTTCACGTGCTAGTAGCAACATTAAGCATAGGTTATGTTCCTCAACTAAGAAAAAAAAATGATTTGAATCTAATCATACGCACAAATTGTATGGTATTTAGCGTATTAATGAATGTTTGTAACGTGTTGATCAGTTTGGACTTTGACTGGTGTTATATTTTTCTGTTTAGGATGGACAAGTTCTTATCATCATCAAGCAACAACACCCAAACTTCTGGATCTAGATCATCACCTTCCCCATCCGTTACTCCTAAAACCCAATCGGCTGACCCTGAAGTTTTTTTCAAAACACCAGCCCATAGATCACCAAACAAAAATGTGATTGATTTAGAAAATGAGGAGACAAATGGTAAGAGAAAGCTTGTTAGGAAATCTGAGGTTTGAGATCATTTTACTATTAAAAAGGGAGCTAATCCAGGTGATGAAAGAGCAGTGTGTAATTATTGTGGGAAGGACTATGCTTGTAGTTCTAGAACGCATGGAACAAGTAGCATGTTGGTTCATTTAAGAAAGCAATGCAAAAAAAATCCATTTAGAGTTGAAGATAAGAAGCAGAAATTATTGAGTTTTCCTCTAACTAGTGAAAGTGGGAGTGGTTTGTTGGCAATAGGGTATAGTAAAGAAGCCTGTAGGAAAGCTTTAGCTAAGATGATGATCATGGATGAGCTGCCATTTAGAAGTGTAGAAGGGGAGGGGTTTAGACACTTTTGCCAAGTAATGCAGCCCAAATTTATTCCTCCTTCAAGAACGACAGTTGCTAGAGAGGTTTTGCAATTGTTTAGTGAGGAAAAGGCTAAATTGCAATTTTTTATGAATACCTAGGTAAGATAATAATTTGTATGTATCTTAATCTATTTTATTATATGAACTCTCAACTATCTAAATTATTACTTAAGCTATTTTCATTTCTCTTGTAGATAACTCAACTTCATGTCCTACTACAACCATTGAGGAGGCTATAAGTGTGGATTGATAAAGATGGTTGATGTTGGAATGCTTGCTTTGGATGGATTTGAATTAAGATTTAAGCCTCTATGTTTGCTTTGCTTAAGCTATTTGTTTTATGTTAAGACTAATTTATAAGTGTAGAATAATTTATGTTTGCTTTGAATTTGATGTTGGATGGACTACTTTGCTTCATGTTTGATGTTAGATGGACTGATAAAGATGGTTGCATTTCTATTTAATGATGAAGTTTGAATATTATATTAAACTTTAAGTTTTTGATTTTTTGAATGTTGAAACCGACCACCCAACTCACTCCGCACCGCTCCAACCCAACCCGAACATCGTTGGGTTGTGAAAATTTTCTAACATCATTGGGGCCAAATATGTGCAACCCGCACCCTTTGGGACGGGGAAAAAAAAACCTACCTTGCACCAACCCAACCCATGAACAGCCATAATAACTTCAAGAATTCGTCGTCGTTTAGTAGCATTAATGTCATTTTACGCAAAGTTTTATCATCGTTTGTTCTCGCTTATTTCCATGGATGTCGATTTGTTGGATGTTTATTGTCGTCTTAAAGTGGTAGTCATTTTTAGACTCCGTCGTTTATTGGAATTGTTGTTTTTAGTATGTTTATTGTCGTTTCTCTTGTCCCTATCATTTTGAAACACTTTGTGGTCGATTATTAGCATTTATGTCGTTCCTTAAGAAGTTTATTGTCCCTAATGTTTTTCTGTCTTTTTTAAACTTTATTGTCGTTATTTGAAGTGGCATAGATGTAAAGATCACGTTGAAAAATTATAATAACACCCCGTCGTTTTCACAACTTGTAGTCGTTAATAAGATAGATGTCGTTTCCTAGAATTTGCTGTGGTTACTAGCAGCATTCATTTGGGTTTCAGGACGTGAAATGTCATTTAAAACTTAATTGTCGTTCACTAACTAGCATTGATATAGTTTGTCGTGGTGTTTTGGAACTTCATTGTCGTTTTTAAGCATTGTTGCTTTTATTGTCTCGCTTTTGATTCTATTTATTGCCATTTTATTGTATCTGATATTTTAATATTATTGCTTTTCAACTTTATTGCCGTTTATTTCAAGTTAATGTCATTTATGGAATGTTTATGGTTGTTCTAGGTCACCGTCGTTTTCAATTTTTTGTGTTCTCATGAAGTGCATTGTCGCTGTCGTTTTCAAACTTTGTTTTATTAACAATTTACCATTTTTGTTTCATGAATTTGTCCTATTAGCATTGACGTTTATCAGCATTAACAATTTACCATTTTCAATTTAATATTATTGTTTACTATCTTTTTCTTGTCTTTCGTTTTCAAAATTTGTCGTTTATCAGCATTAACATGGTTTTAAACTTTATTGTCGTTGTCGTTTGTTTTTGGGTACCGTTTTTCAGAAAGTTAATGTCATTTTTCTTGTTTTTGGTTTCTCGGAAAGTTTTTAAGAGATAAACGTAAAGCACATTAATGAATTGGGGAAGCATATGATATTTAATATCATCGTCGTCATTTTTTTTTTTAAAGAAGAATAACATCGCTTTGATTAGAAATAAAGTAAAGAATTTATAAAGATAACAGCTCCAAGGTAAAAGATAGAGTAAATAAAAACTCAAACAGTTTGACCACCCAAAAAAAAAAAGAAAAAAAAAATCAAAACTCAAAAAAGGCACGCTGGTAGAATATTTCAAATGAGTAATTTTTTTTTTTTTTTTTTGTTTGGAAGATAAATGAGGAGAGTTTCGTGCAGGACATAAAATGAAAAGAAAAGAAAAATCCGCCGGTATAGGTTTTGTTTGTTTTTTTGTATGTTTTGTTTTAACGTTGGCAAATCTGATTGAGACTTGATCTATATCAATAATAAGGTATTTAATACGAGAATTCATATCATAATTTAAATTATAATTTATGATTTATTATAAATATTAAAAAAAAAACACATAAATTAAAATTAATTTTAAATTATAATTATAAATTTGTGAACCGTATATTTTTTAACAGTCAGAAATAGAGTAATGTATATAAATCAACTTCATCAATGATTGTTTTTTATTTTTAACGGTGACAAATAGAGTAATGTATACATCACATATTTTGACTTTTTTTTTTTCACACAAAATGAGAGGTTATCTGGTATGTTTTTTTATGTGTTCATTTTTTAATATTCAGAAATAAAGAAAATAATTTATATTTCTGGCAGTAAATTGTATGTTTTGACATCGTACCACTGGATCATCTGTATGGGCTCCACGTGGTAAATATGATCCTACTGTTTTGACATCATATCAAGCGAAGTCAACGATTTTATATGATCCCACGGTGAAGGTTAAAGCACGACGGGGTATCACGGTGAATTGCGAAGCACACGATTAACGAAGAGAGTGGGCCCACCTCCCAAGCTGTCCAATCGCGATCTGCTGCGCTGAGCGGTTCTTATAAATCTGATAATATCGGCAGAAAACGACACTCCACTCAAAAAGCTCTCTACTTTGTACTCTTCTTCTTCGTCTTTTGCTCTCTCTCTCTCTCTCTCTCTCTCTCTGATACTGCAATGGTGAATGCCGGTTTGATTTCTGCTTCTCTCTCCGATCAAAATTCCATGGTGTAAGTTCCGGATTTCTCACTCCTGAATTCCGTTTGCATATTTGGATTGTTTTGAAGTTTTTTTCTCCATATTTTGCTTTTCCATATTCTCAATCGGGTATGATTCAGTTCTGGTGTAGTCAGTTTCTACCATCTTTTTTTTTTTTTTTTTGCTATTGAAGCACTTCATAGTTCATATTAATATTTGTCTTTATTCTTTGCTTTTGAACGGTTGATTTAGAAGACTACAGTATTGAGGACAATTAATTATTAATTATCAATGTTCCTTGATTATAGCAATATTTGAGCTTGGTGCATTAATTTGCTTTGTGTTGTATGTCATGCTGAATTCTGCTTTACTTACACTATAGATTGAGTATTTTTCCTACAATTGATTTGTTTCCAATGCAAATTAATATTGGTTACTGTAATTTTTTTTTTTTTTGAAGCACTTCATAATTCATATTAATATTTGTCTTTATTCTTTGCGTTTGAACGGTTGATTTAGAAGACTACAGTATTGAGGGCAATTAATTATTAATTAATGACTTTCCTTGATTATAGCAATATTTGAGCTTAGTGCATTAATTTGTTTTGTCATGTATGTCATGCTGAATTCTGCTCTGTTTACACTACAGATTGAGTATTTTTCCTACAATTGGTTCGTTTCCAATGCAACATTGCACTATAGACACAATTATTACAAGTAATAAACTCTTTAGCTTGATTACTGTCACCAAATTGGTCAATATTAAGTAAAATGATTTTGTCTTTTTTGGGAGACAGGAAACCATTTAAGTTTCAGTAGGAAGATCCTCGTGGCCTGCAAGGGGTTTTTTCATTGTTGCCACTGGTTTATGATCATCTGCTTTTTGTGACCACATATGGCAACTTTTCTCCCATTAGTTATGGCTTATTCTTGCTCTCTGAATTGTGGACGAACTAAATCATCTATGCTGAAACATGACAATAGTGTGCTATACAGAAACAAAATTATGAATAGCTTTGAAAAAATGGACTTGGAGAGAAAGCTACTTTGTGGGAATTTTGAGAAGATGCCGAGGAATCTTAGTGTGGAAGTGAATGCTACTTCCAGAGTGTCTATTGAGCCGGTTCAGAAGAGACTCTCAAGAAATACTAAAGTTGAAGAAGCGGAGAAGGTATCTACTTATCTGTTTAGGACAGAAGTTGGTGGTCTGGTGAATGTTTTTGTCAGAAAGAAGAAGGTTAACTGCACTGTTTATGTTGAAGTTTCGTCCTTAGAATTGCCAAGAAGTGATGGTACACTGGGTCTAAGTTGGGGCATATATAGATCTGATTCATCCAGTTTCTTGCCTTCACACTTTGAGACCTCGACCCCTGTTGAAACTCCATTCACAAAGAATTCTTTTGGAAGGTACACCGTGGAATTTGAGTTTGAGGCAAAAGAGATCCCCTGCTATCTCTCTTTTCTTTTGAAATCTCCTCGCGATAATGATTCAAGTGGCTTAGACATAAGAAGTCATAGGAAGACAAATTTTTGTGTCCCCCTTGGTTTCAGTTCAGGTCACCCTACTCCATTAGGTCTTTCATTTTCACGGGATGGTTCTTTGAACTTTTCCATTTTTTCAAGAAGTGCAGAAAGTGTGGTTTTATGCTTGTATGACGACACCACAGCTGATAATCCTGCTTTGGAGCTTGATCTAGATCCTTATGTCAATCGAACTGGTGATATCTGGCATGCTTCCTTTGAAAGTTCTTCTACTTTTGTGAGTTATGGCTATCGATTAAAGGGGTCTCGTTTAAAGGGAAAGAAAGATGAAGATGCACGTATAGTTCTTGATCCATATGCTAAGATCATTGGGAAATCTACTTCTAGTGATCACGGAATTGGGCCGAAGTATCTTGGGCGCATATCCAAGGAACCTGGTTTTGACTGGAGTGGCGATATTCGTCCAAACTTACCAATCGAGAAACTAACGGTGTATCGTTTAAATGTGATGCACTTTACTGAGCACAAGTCCAGTCAGTTATCCCCTGACATAGCAGGTACCTTTTCTGGTTTGATTGAGAAGTTGGAACATTTTACAGATCTTGGTGTAAATGCAGTTTTATTAGAGCCTATTTTCCCATTTGATGAGCAAAAAGGGCCATGCTTTCCTTGTCATTTTTTTTCACCAACTAGTCTTTACGGACCTTCTGGTGGTGCTGTATCTGCTATAAACACAATGAAGGAGATGGTCAAGAAATTGCATGCCAGTGGTATAGAGGTTCTACTGGAAGTTGTTTTCACCCATTCCGCTGAAAGTGGAGCCCTTCAAGGGATTGATGATTCATCCTATTACTTGAAGGGGGTTGCAGATTTGGAAGCAAGAAACGTGTTGAATTGTAACTACCCCATTGTGCAACAATTTATTTTGGACAGCCTTAGGTACTGGGTGACTGAGTTTCACGTTGATGGTTTTTGTTTCATAAATGCATCCTTGCTGTTGCAGGGGTCACGCGGCGAGTACTTGTCTCATCCTCCGTTGGTCGAGGCGATTGCTTTTGATCCTTTGCTCTCAAAGACCAAGATCATAGCAGACTGCTGGGACCCCCATAACACGGTTCTGGAAGAAACCCGTTTTCCTCATTGGAAGACATGGGCAGAAATGAACATGAAATTCTGCAATGATGTTAGGAACTTTCTGCGCGGTGAGGGACTTCTCAGCAGCCTTGCTACACGACTCTGTGGGAGTGGAGACATATTTTCAAAAGGGCGAGGCCCGGCATTCTCTTTTAATTTTATTAGCAGAAACTCAGGACTTCCTCTTGTCGACCTTGTCAGCTTCAGCAGTGACAAGTTGGCTTCCGAACTAAGTTGGAATTGTGGGGAAGAAGGTCCTACAAATAAGACCCTCGTCCTTGAAAGACGGCTTAAACAAACACGCAACTTCCTTTTTGTCTTGTATGTTTCACTGGGTGTTCCTGTTCTGAATATGGGAGATGAGTGTGGACAGTCTACTGGTGGTTCTCCTGCATATAGTGATAGAAAATCATTTGATTGGAATGCACTAAAATCAAGTTTTGGCATCCAAACCACAGAGTTTATCTCATTTTTAAGTTCACTGAGGAGAAGGCGGAGCGACCTGCTTCAGAATATGAACTACTTAAAAGAAGAAAACATCGACTGGCATGGAAGTGACCAGTCTCCACCAAGATGGGAAGATCCAACCTGCAAATTCCTTGCCATGAGATTAAGGGTCGACGAAGATAAAGACAAAGCGGAGAACCAAACAACATCTGGCAAGGGTGATTTGTTTATAGCTTTCAATGCAGCTGACCTTTCAGAGAGTGTTATTCTACCCCCAATTGCAGAAGGAATGGCATGGCACAGATTGGTCGATACGGCTCTTCCATTCCCGGGTTTTTTCTTGACTGATGGTGAGCCTGTTCCTGAGAATGTGGATGGGTTACTTGCTTATGAAATGAAGTCCCTCAGTAGCACTCTTTTTGAAGCCAGAAGCAAGTAGTGGAAGTGAACTCCATTTACCTCTGGAAGTTGCTTTGGACCATGGATGCTGGACACTTTCCTTGATTATAGTACTTTTGGTATAGATATCGTAGAGTAGTATATCGTTTAAACGGCAGTTTGTAAATCCTTTGTAAATTCATCAGTTTTTTTCCCCTTTATAAAAAATAAGTTCAAAGAGAAATGTTATGTAGCCCGATGATGCTAAATGCCAATTGAGAGACTCAAAAGTTTATTAGATTGTGTGTTATATCTATCTTTTCATAGCATTTATAGATTTTGGATGCTAAATAGTAATGTTTTTAATCCAAACAAACAACCTATTACTTCCGTTTATGATTAATAATCTACAAAATCTACAACTACAAGTCGTTTTCAATGTTTAAGAAGATCCATGGATTGGATACTCTGAGCACGTACTTTATTGTGTGCTATTTCCTCCCCTTTCCCATCGTAGAGTTTTTCATCAAAATTCAATGGGTATTAAAGAAAGGCTAGAAGATGCGTACAACTTTTTAATCTTCTTTGTCTGAATGTTTTTGTTTCTTTTGGCCAAGTTCAAAAAAAAAAAAAAAAAAACCCTCTCAATCTAACCCAATCGTCCTAAACATCATTTGCGGTAGCCAAAACCAAAAAAAGAAAAAAAAAAAAAAGGAAAAAAAGCTAAATTTAAGTTGTTATTATTTTAAAATTTTCTTCGACGTGTATGAGATACGTATGCCAATTTCATCAAGTCATCTCCAAGTAGTGACTTGGGATCCTAATTATAAACAGCAACAATAGTTTAGGGCTTAACTTTTTATTTTTATTTTTATTTTGTTTTCTTGAGAGTTTATAGCTTACTACGACATGATTAATAATCTACCACTTTATGCAAACCAAAATAAAACAATCTGCAACCTTTTCTTTTTCTTCCTGAAAAAGGAACTTCATTCAAACAAGAGAAGCCAAACACAACTAGCCGCTAAAAAGTCGTTCAAGGAAAAAAAATAAAAAAAACAGTGTCAGGAAAACAGTTGAGACGAGAACACTAATTTTTTTTGCTATTCATAATTAGTCATTAAAAACTCAAAACATAGAAAAATCATTAGACGGCATTGTTTGTTTTCCCTTGATCAATTCAATCATCCGAATCTTGGCCTCCAAGCAATCTGATAAACTCTTCAATGAATTCTCGGTTAACTTGTCTAGTTCTTCATCCCAGAGTGACAAGCCTCCAGTTCCATTATCTGAAAAGTCCCAATTAGTTTCCTCCTCACGAAGTTGTTTTTCAAGACTCTTTATCTTGGACTCCAAGACGTCAGAGAGATTGAGCTTTTCTTTTCTCTTACACTTGTTGCCTTTCTTGCTTGCTTCTTTGTACTTTTCAATAATGGATTGTGCCTTGGTTGGTTTCTCTGGCCACACTTCAAGGTCGCCATTCGGTCCAAAACAGATCACGCAAACCTCGACTTTGCAGCGATCAGCGAGCTCGCTGGCTTTCTTCTTCAGGGTCGATCTTCTTCCTTCGAAACTCTTGGCAGACTTGTCCATCGTTTCGGAGAAAATCATAAAACTTCAACAAAGAGAGAGTGGGAGAAAAAGGAACTGTGAAACTCTTGTGAGAATCAGATATGCCCTTCCTTGCTTCGCAAGGCACATATTTATAGGCGTAGGAGTTTAATTATTTGAATTTGAGCATCTTACATATTTGTTTCCTCTTTCGTTCGTAAAATCTCGGACAAAAAAAGAAAAGTCTTAAAGAGAAATATTATTAATAAGTATTTAGTTTAATTTTTTTAAGACAAATAGGAAAGTTTTTCTCTCAAGAGAGAGTTGCAAGGCTAATTACGAGAATTTGTATGGACTAGTTTAGATGCTATTAAGTTGTGTGAAAAAAAAAAAGTGAATTGGTGAATTAATTTCTTTCTTCCGAAAGTCAAATGCGTCATAATTTTGAATACTCTAACCTAAAATAACATGCTTTTTTTTAAAGTAATTGCCATGTATAAGGCAGTGAAAATTGGGGAGGAAATAAAACTAAGAAATCGTTTGGACCACTTGCACTAATGAACCCGCATACTAAAATAATTATACGCATTGTTTTTACTAAAATAATTATATGCATTCTTTTTCTTCTAAAAAGTAATAATATGATTCTTTTACTCATTAAATAATACAAAGTCTACAAAAAAAAAAAAAAAAAAAAAACAAAGTTGAACAATTTGGGTTGCTTACTTGATATCTATGTACGAGAAAAAAATTAGGGAGAATTACAAAGTAGGGTGTAGGAGCTTAAAGTTTATTTTATCTTTTTCTGCCAGATCACATGTATGGTATCTCTTATGGCAAGATTTCATATGTTTTCCATTTATATTTTTCAATCGCAAGAAAACAATAAAGATTGAATCTAATTAATATATACGACTCTATTTGGTTTATAAACGGGGATAGTTCCATAACTACAAAATGTTTTAGTAGAGACACTGTTAAATTACATTGCATAGTCTTTTAAATAATCTTTTAACAAAAAATGGTGCCTGGCCTAAGGCTTTAACAATAGGCTCACCACTTTGCATGCATGTTTTGTCCTCAGTCTACCCAACATAAGCTCTTCAACCAGAAGCATTTGGGATAAGCCAAACACCATTTCCTGGGTTCTAAGAACTGACTAACTATGGACCAACTGCCACTAATGGGATTCCATATTCTAACTTCCAGTGTCCCTCCTTTCTTTCCCACATTTTCTCGAGATCTTGAAAAATTCCTCAAAAAAAAAAAAAAAAAAAAAACTACCATTTCAAATTAATGGCCAGGTCTAGTAAGGCTTCCACTTGGCGAATGGTTCGCTGCTTCTCTTGTTGCTTCAGTTTACTGGCCACGGATTCAGGATCAAGTCCTTGTGCAGCTTGCGCTTCCCTTTGTTCAGCCTTAACCTCTTGTAACAATGCATCAACCTCTCTTACAAAGTCTACTCTCAATAGAGCATCATCAGCTTCAAGTGGCGGTCGGAGCGGTCCTTGATGCTGATGGAAGTGGGGCAGACAGGAAAAGTGGAAAAAGAAAAGATGAGTTAGCATAGCATAACTTGTATTACTATTTTGTGAGGAATTATAAGGACAATTCCCCTATGCAATAGGCTTAACATTAATCGGACATCAATGGGGGGTTTTTTTACGTGTAATCCAAACTTTCAGGAAGAGCACAGAAGGGGAAATAAGTAACAGCAGGAGAGTTGTACATTTCATATTTTCACATCATACCTCATCAATATCAAATCCTGGAGGAACAAGAATGCTAAATGGATCTTCTCGTGGAAAAGTATCAACCATGAGTTTCTTGCATTCCTTCAGCCACACTTCATCATCAAATCCATCATGCAAATTCAAAAGATCATTGAGCAGTCTCATGGTGGGAGTTGCCTCTCTTTTCAAAATTTCTGTCTGAAATATTCAGGAAATTTCAAACTTGTCCAGTAAAAATGTATATTTGAAGAAAATAACTTAAACGAGAAAATTATCGCCCTCAGTGCTGGGCACTTAAAATTTGAAGATAGAAATTCATACCTCAACCCTCCTGTACAGCAGATCTAGACTCCTAATCGCATCTTTTTCATTCTGCAAACACATGAAGAATATGAGGTGAGACAATAAAGCTACAAACATGATGAGTCGTGCACTTCCCGGTACTTGTACGGCTAAAGATTTTTATTCTATCGACAAGCATTACTTTCTTTCCACAAAAAGCACTAAAAACTTGAAATTCAACTTACATCACGCCGAGCAAGATCAAGACGATTCCATATGACCATCAGGACAAGTTCAGTAAGTTCTCCTCTCTCAGCAGCCTCCTCAATTTTCTGCATACAATATGAAAATTTGAATAAAAACAGAGACGCCCAAACCTTTAGAGTTTAGCCAATAAAAAGCTATTCCTATAAGTAATCATTTTATTTATTTTTTATTTTTTAAAAATTAAAATCCTATTCGGAAGGTTACTCTTATATTTGAGCACAAAGCCCATTTTAAACATGTCTTGCCACAGATTATAATAGAAAAGCAAACTGTAAGTCAACAGTGGTATTATGCATTGCTTTTAATTTTTGCTAATTTTCCATGAACCAGCTAGTCAGTAGAGCAGACAAAGACTTTAATTGTATTCTTGCACCAATTGTGGCTGGTTATTTCATTCACTAAACTTGATAAAATCACCTATTAGCTTACTCTTAGAGGAGTGAGAGAGCCAGTGCATAAGTAGCAAAGAGGCAGTCAGAATTCAACAAGACATCATCATATATTTAAGGCCTGCACTGTTGTAAGATTAAGGATACTGCAGTTCAATTCCCTTTCTGATATGGTGTTAGATCCCTACTGAAACAAGTCTATACTAGGAGGGGTAAAAGAGGAAGAGCACAGAGTGTTAGGGGGCTGGGGGCAAATATTGAAAGTGGCTAGGAATGTCTGACGTGGCTTAGGGCTGATCAGGGGGTATTTGGGGTGTAGGAAGGGGAGTAGGCTGGGTAGCTGGTATTTTTGTTAATTCTGAGTGTGGTTGTTCGCCGGAAACGGCTGGAAGTGCCGGAGAGCTCGAAATCTCCGAACTATCTATTATCTTTCCATTTCCTAGTGTAATTGGTGTTTTTGTCTGATTAAGTAATAAAGAATCCCCTGATTTCTCTTGGATATTGCCTGTTTTTCTGGTGCTTGTGTGTGAATCTGTGTTGGCTGAGTGTTGGGAATCAGGTCCCTAACATATTGCAACTGAGTTTACCTCTTCCACTTCTTCGGCAGACCGAATCAAGCTCGAAACCAATCTGCGCGCCTTTCGTACATCTTCTTCAGGATACCCCTTCAGTCGCATGCCAATTTCACGATACTCTTCAACCTTTCTTTCCTCTTCTTCCTCTTCTTCTTGACGTCTCCGATGCAACTCCTTTGTTTTCTCCCTTTGTCTAGTTTGCCATTCCTAATCCAGAGAAAATTAACTCCAGCCTTTTTTCCAAATAGGATAATGCAAATCATCCCTCACTATATGCATCACTAAATAGTTCTTGCAACTAAAAACTATGAATAATTAAAAACATAAAATTTAATTAGTTCATAAGGTATAACATTTGTCATACAAATTACAAACTAAACATCCTATCCACATAAAATCCACCAAAGGGAAACCAAAATCAGTATGAACCGTTGATCCATCATATACAACGCTGTTAATAAATACTAACAATTATAAGCACTAGACTTGAAATTAAACAATTCAGCTTTCTTAATTGAAATTAGTATTACGAAAGACAAATTCCGAACTCAGAACAAGCAAACGTGAATGATCTTCATCCTCCAACTTCCAGGCCCATTTTAGTTCAGTACAATATAGAGATTAAAAAAAAAAAAAATGGCAACGAAATACTAGAAAAACAAACCAAGCAAACCAAACCAAAATATTAGTAAAATCGCAACAAGATAATTAGATATTCAATCGTAGTTTAGAAAGAGAGTGACTTTACATCATCGTAGTATTCCTTCTGAAGTCCTTCCAGGAGTGGCTCGTCCTTGCTCACGCTCCTCCGAAGAACTGGCCATTAAAACTCCGTAAATTAGAAAAAACAAGAAATTGAGTAAACCCTAAGCCCTATATACCAAGCAAAAGTACAAAGGATTGTCAGCGAAGATTACGAGCGGTGCCGGGGGCTAACCTGCGCGGGGAGGAGAGTTGAGCATGAGAGGAGAAGGAAAAAGCGACGGCGGCTGCCTTGCGACGGTCGACGGCGGATGGGGTGGCGCTACGCGTGGTGCGCACGTTAGCCGGAGCACCTGGCACTCCATTTTCAGTGTTTTCTCTGATATTCAAGAAGCAGAGTGAGTCTAGTCACTCCTCACTGAGTAGTTGAAAGGCGCCGAGAAAGAGCTGACTCAGGACGCACAGGATGTGAAAAACGACAATTACAAGTAATAACGAGAGTAAAATCAGAGTGCAAATGACACCGAGTTTGAAACGATAAGAAAGTAGAGGACGAATAGTGGAAGGACACGACAGTGAAAGATGAAATGACGGAAAAGTGAATTTCGACGGTTAACATGAAACGACAATAATTATCCAAAAAAAAAACGACAATAAAGTGAAACGACACGAAATGATAAAACGATAGCAAAAAGAGAAAAAAACAGAACGATAAATATGTAATGCAATTAAAAGGAAATGGCGGTAAAAAACAAACGAGAAAACGACGACAATGGAGCGAACGGTAGAAACGTAAAAATGACGGAAAAGTGAAGGACAATAATTGACCGAAAACGTTTAATGTCAAATTTGTTTTAGCATATTTTTACTTCGAATAATTCAAATCGTCTATTGTTTGTCGTACTAGAATCGACATAAAACTAAAGAAACAACTTGCATACCTTTCTTAAAAGTATTTAAACTATCATCACATCTAGGAATTATATTATTAAAATAAGATTTAGTAAAATATCAAAAACCCATACATTCAAGGCAGAGACAATACCGAGTCTCAGGCATGAAAATAGAGGTTTCCTGGATAAATGTATAGAACTATAAGCATATCCGAGGAAGATATATCCTGTTTGAAATGTACATGAGCTGAATCTTCCACCCAAAAGGGGAAGAAAAGGATAACCTCGTAGAGCCTTAGGATTCAACAAGCTATACATACGAGTTAGCCAAATCAGCTTTTCATGCTTACAGCCTATACATGCAACGCTCATAAGTTATCACTAATGAGATTCAAAAGTCACTCTCAACAACGAGTTCTGCCGCAGCAGCCATTGCTCCGACACCACCGAGCCCAAGCACAGCAAGAGCCAATTCTTCCTCGTTCCATTGTCTCAATCCCTTGCTTAGCCTCTTTAGAACATCCACATCGATTTCCATCAACCACTTCTGTGTGCAACCCACCATCAGGCTCACCACCCCAGACACATACGCCCACCAAGTCGCCAAATCACAGCCGAGTGAAATCTTCCCATCTAGTGCGCTCGCAAGAAAATCCAAGTGAGCACCGAGAATCTTTGGTCGCCTCTTTGATGCTGGCGATGCCGAGTCAACTCCCCAAGCAAATGTCCCACAGAGAACAGTAAAGTATGCGAGTCCATAGCCCCCAAGAACAGCCACCGTGCCTCCTGATTCCCGGCTTTCCTGATCCGATCCGTGAGATGATATAAACCAAGAAGGTAAGGTTTCGTTGATCAAATTTTGAACTAAGCTCAACCCACCGGAGAGCCAAACTAGTGAAGCTCCAAGAGATGCTGCAAGCTTGATCCGTTGCATGGCTGCGGCAAAGGAAACCTGCCCATATCTCATCCCGTTCTTGGTCTTCTTCAGTTTCTCCACCTTGTCTCCGGGTAACCCACAACTTGCGATCTCTTTAACGGAGAGCGTGAGAAGGGAGACAATTTCTTCTGTCAAGAAGATAGCATCTCTAACAGAGCGATGCACTCGCAAGTAGAGAAATCCTGGGGCAACTGGAGAGATCCCCCCAGAAAAGGAGCCAAAACCCTCGCCAAGGAGGGAACCGACACCACCGTTGGTGTGAATGCAGGAGGAACGTAGGCCAAGCGTGGACGTAAAGCAGCTCTTCAGGAGCTGAACTACAGCATCACTGTTGTGGTGGAAGACTGCTTGGGAAGCAGCGAACACCAGGAAGTCACTCCAGCGCTTTACTTTCTGGGACCATAATGAGGCAATAATGGGCATGCATGGCCAGGGGCAAACCGTGGCTAGGGAAAAAAAAGCCGGCCCAATTAGCTGCAGTGCACGTTCAGATGCTTTATCAAGTTTGAAAGTTATCGTGAGGCTAACCATGGCAGCCAAGGGTAAAGGAAGTGTATTAGGAGAGCTCCCTCCTGCAAGCAACAATTTATGTTAGATGGTTATTATCAGAAATCTTCATCATAAAAAGTTCCAGCAAACATATTTTTACTATATATATATATATATAATATGGGGCCAGTTAGATAGTTGACCAAAATAATTTATGACAATCAAAGATATTGAATTCTTATCACGTCACGTCATCAAACTTATATTTGGTGGTAACTGCCGATGGAAACATAATCATTGAAACACATCCATATAGATATATAAGGTGGTAAATAAGAGGCACTTCAAAAAATGATCTCGAGGCATTGAATATTGATTTCTCATCATTCAAAATTAACAAGCATCTGGAAAACTATAATTATCATCCACAAAGCAACAGAGAAAAGAGTAAATACCGGCTGAAAGGCTTGGAACATCCACGCCAGTAGCAGCAAGGATTTTTTTAATTTGCTGCTCAACAGTGGAAAAATTTGCAGCAGGGCTTGGCCAATCAGTTCCATTCATAAAAGCTGGCTTCCATATTCCTCGTGTTACTTCAGCTGAAAAATAGCTCACAATTGTTGCCAAAGTTGCAGGAAGAAAATCTGCAAGATCTTTGAGTCCTGAGAACAAAGAAAACACACGTCAACAACCTAAAAGTTTGAAACAAAATATTAATTGGCAGTCAACGCAGACACTCCCTAAAAATTCAACTGCCAATAAGGGTACATGTGCGATTATGGAAAAATCTTTTAAATGTTAGATAGCGCACATCATAGAACAGACTTATAGACGGTGAATGGACAGCAGACTTGTATTGACAGACCAAATATTGTCGTTTTTTTCTGATTTTGACCCCAAACTGGTTGAAACACCACACTCCACAGGAATTATAATTGCCTAATCCCTGAAGTATTAGATGATATATTTACAAATATGACCAGAGTCCTGTGATAAATTGACCAGAGGCTTGGCAACAATAACACATCAGGCTCAATTAAATTAGAAATCAGCACAACTGTTTAGGTGTCTGCTTTTAACTTGATGCGCATCAAAGAGGCAAAATGGACTAATTTTTTAGCATTATTATCAATTTTCCAACCTGTAGCAAATTCACGAGGAGAGAGTCTTCCATGGGCACATGCTGTAAGAGCAGCATCGAGCACAAAAGGAGTTGCTTCCATGATGTCCCATGCAGGCACTTTAAGTCTAATAGAGGTTTCATCAGTCCCAGAAACAGATGAAGTACTGCTTCCCGAAGTTGTAGGAGTCAAAGGTTGACTGCCTCTACTTATTTTTCTAAACATCATGGTTAGGAGTGTATCAACGATTTGATGAACGGTGGTGCCTGGTACAAGTCCAGAGAGTGTGGAACAAATACATTTTTGATGCTGCTGATACCAGAGTTTTAATTTTGGAAACGAGTCCATTAGGATAGGTTCAGGAGAAAAGGTGATAAATTTTGAGACTCTCCTAATTCTCATTCGATCCTTGGCTGAACTTCCAGCAGTAGCTAATTGAGAGTTTCGAACCAATAAAAGGTATTCAGGACTCAGTTGGGATCCCACAACTGGTCTCCCATCTCCCATCATATGTTCAAGAGGTGGATGATCATATCGCCATGATCTCAGTAGGAGTGTAAATGCGTTTGAGAAAACTGCATGGCAAGAGAATTCTTCGCCTGTTGAAAGAGTCCATGAGAGATTGGGAACACTTGACCCGAAAACCTCACAGATTGGCATCAATGCTCCTGCAAGTAAAGGAAGCTGCCAATATATAAAACAAACAAATTATCCAGCCATCAAACAGCAAGCAGGAAGGTTTCATTAGTTCATTTTTCAACGTTTCCTCGAAAGCAAAAATGACCAGAGCCTTTCTGAAATTGTACAATTCTTATTGCAGAACTAACTTAAGAGAAACAAGTGCTACCACCTTAATGCCAGAGCAAAGAACTAAAATCAAGTTCTTGGTTTCCCCTAAAGATACTGTACTATATAATTTTCCTTATAATAAGGATGGTGCTTATTGTAAATTTACCTCCAATCTTTTAGCTTAGTTCAACATTCATGTACAGACATCAGCTAAAACAAACAAAAGAAAAAAAAAAAGGAGGGTAACCTGTTAAATGTGACCTACCAATCCATGCAAGGAGAAGATTTGAACAGAGTCTATAGATGAAATCCCAGCCAGGAGAACATTAAAGAAAGGGGCAAAGTTGAGCAAATGGCTCTCGCTTCCTGAGTTTTCTGCAGGAACTGGTGGCGATAACAACCTTATGATAAAGAGACAGGTATGCTCCTGCGAAAAACAGAAACTTAGTAACCATGATGAAGAATGTGCAAGCAAGACAGCAAAAGATTCCAGCAAAAAACAAATAAAAAATACTGAAATATAACAATACATAATTTCAATTGTATTACCTGGATACTCCAACCACGAAAAAGAGATGCCTCAGAAAGAATGTTGGCAGCAGATATCTTCTCATCGTCTGAACCATTTATTGCAATCTCATATATTTTCTCGATCTCTGCTAAGCTTCCATCAAATCCATGAGCTTAAATTCAGTTGCCATACCACTGGGTAAGTTTATAAAAAAGATCATCTGATTACCTGGCTTCAGGAAAAAGAAGGGTGTAATAGAAGACCAGGTTATCATGATCAACAAATAATTAGATCATTTTATTGATTCATTCACTCATATCACAATCTTTTTAAGGCTCATCTTCACGAGGTGTAAATACAAGTACTACATCTAATTTCTCTACTACATTGTCTTCGAGTAAAAATAAGAAACACGGAATAGATAGAGCTATATGAAAACATAAAATGGAATAGGATGGAGAAATACAAGTAAGATAATACTTTCTCCATAAGAAGGAAAAAATACATAAAGAAGCACGTTGTGAACAGAGTAAAATATATGGCATTGGCAAAATAGATTGATAACTCCAATTCCATGTTTACCCTTTTATTTCTCTCGTCCCTGTCCCACAAATCCATCTACCCAACTTCACCTAGAGGACAAATATGGAAATTTCAAATTTGATAGTAATTGGAGCAAGTATAGCTTACTTAGAAGCTGGGGTTGCAATCAGAACATTAACCAGAGCTGGAGTCAGAGGGGAACCCTTCATCAAAGATGACCAACCAGTCACTTGGCTGGGCACATTTCGAGGCAATTGATTGTTGCATGCACTCACGTAGCCTGGCCAGAAATATGCCGATGTGTCTAGTAGATTCCTTGCAATGCAAGCCTCAACAATTAGATGCCACATGTTTCCAACTGCAAGAAAGAATGCTTTATTAGGATAGCTCGAGGATAAGTAATAAAAGAAATGTCAAGGCCAACAAATGACCAAGAAAAGATCTGGCTGCCATATAATTAAAAACAAAAGGACAATAAAAGGAAATCATACTATTATAAACGTTAATAGATAAAATGAAGTCAGAGAGAAACTATCAATCTAATATGAAACCTAGAAAAATAAAAAATAATCACTGAGGAAATTCATGAAATCAAAAGCAAAGAAGTGAAACCTCTGCATAAGTTAACGTGATAAAAAAAGAAGTCATAATCTTGAACTGCATGCTATTGATTTTTTATTTTATTTTATTTTATGTTAATGATAGTTTGAGCCTTGAGGGGAGAAAGGAATAAAATAGTACACCAACAGCAACAACTAAGCATCCTCAAATATGCATAAAAGTAAAAGAGGTCTTGTCATTGTACCAAACAAAAAACGTTTATCAAATTAAGATTTAGAAAGACAACTATAACTTACTACAATTTATAGGCATGTCGGTCACACTACTGCTTTCGTAATATCCATTGCTGACAGTAAGGCCTGAAATGAACATCATCGCTTTTGCTGCAGCCTGATTGGCTGCCGAACTAACACATTGAGGTGGAGTCAACAAGCCATTGTAATCACCTAGTAGCTGTAAGCTGGTCACTAAATCCTTCCGACGCTGTCCTAAAGCCTGTTTCTCCATACTTTGGTTAATTGAGATTTGTTCGGATGCCTCCATCAGTTCACTTTCCTCTTCCTCGATAATGTTAGTGACCGCAAGTGTTGTAATAGACAATAACAGGCATAAGCAGGTATCAAGGCGAGGCGCAGGACCCTCTCTAGGGTCTCTTTCCTTAAATATTAAACAAGGGAGAACAAAAAAACGATATCAATCTAGTTATCTTGACCTGCACAATTCTCCAAAGAAAAAATCTTCAGAACAAAGTTTCTTAAGATCCAAGGGTGCCATCTAACAGTAATTTAAATGGCTCGCTTAATCTAGAATGCTGGCTATGGCAACTAAATTATGACATTGTCTTTGACTGTGCGTGTTGTGCTTTCAGTTCATGAAAAAAAAAAAACCAAGCAGGCTTTTCATTTCCAGCCAACGCATCAAAAGCAGTAAAGCACTATATAAATGTGGTGCTTATGTGCATGTGTGAATGTTTAAGTGTACGTACATATAAGTTCAATCTATCGAGAATAAAACACGAATTTCAACTTAATCATAAACCTAGCATGTTAAGTTGCATCCATTCTTACCCTTTGAACTAGGCGAAGAGCTGCAATCCATAAACCTATGAACGTATTATGCCATGATGTGTTGTTAACTGCTTGCAAAGCCTTTACCAAACCTGCAACAATAATTATGTTTCAATAACGCTGCTTCAAAAGGACAACGTTCTCCAGACCATGACTGCACGAATTACAGTATGGGATCAAAAAATGACACACCAGTAAGATTGTCGACGGCACTAGTAGCAGGCACTCGTGACCCATCCATAGCATCTTCAAGAAATAGATCAATGGGAAGCCAAAGCGATGAAGAACTAGCTCCCTGAGATTGGCAAGTGGAAGATATCATAGTTCCAGAGGCCAAGACTGCATGAAAATCATGCTGTGATATTGTTTTGCTTTTCCGAGTTAGTAATTTGCGAGTATCAGATGTCAACTGCAAAAGGACCTCTGCAGTAATGTGCTTTAAACTCCGCAAAACTGATGAGTTTGAGCAAAGCAATCTCAGTCGCTGAAGCAAGCCTCCCCAATGCGATGACCTAAAGAGAAGAGTACATACGTCAAAACAAATCTGGAAAACTACTCAATAAATCCTAGTTTAACATGAAGCATACTGACTTAAAAATGGATGGAGAAAAAGAAAAGCAGTAGCAAATATCTAGGCCCTTACATGTTTCTACGTGCCAAGTAAATAAGTCTTGAAGTGACTTTGTTTTTCAGAAATTCTACAATTATCTCAATAGCTATAGCAGTATTTGCTTTTTGCAGGGCTTCATTATCACTTCTTTTCTCACTAAAGCAATCCTGACCATCTATTTCCATATCTTGTGGCCTCGTCGGCCATCTAGATTTCTTTTCCAGGGTGAGTTCTAGCAACCCTTCATCATCTAATGATGCCTCAAGTAACTGCCATACAATCGAAAACACAAATTCGACAAGAAGAATTCCAGGTTCACACACTTCGATGCCATATATCTCGGAAAGATGCAGAACGTCATCAATGGATTTCATGATCCTGTGAACCAATTAAAAGGGGAAAAAACAAAGTTAATCCCTTTTCCTTTAAATGAAATATACACTATCTAAAGTATGAAAAGAAACCATTTAAAATTTAAAACTCATTGCTTCCTTTTATTATAAATGACCATCATTTCAAGACAAAATTAAATCAAGAAACACACAGTAAGCTTTGTATTGAATAAATTGAGGTCAGCTATAAAGAACAAATTTTATTTTCCCCAAAGAAAGGGGAAAATATATTAACCCTTACTTTTGAAAATTGAGTCCATTTGTTTGAGAAGTGAATGAAAATGCATGTCTCTTAACTAGTTCCATGTAAAGCCTGTACGCCGTTGGCTGGAGCTGTCGATTTGGAATCACCCTAACAGCAAAAGAAACCAAAAGATTTCAATTCTACAAGTTTTTAACCAAACAATAAAGAAAAAGCTACAATATTCAACAAACTCCGAAGATTCAAATCAAATTCACAATCTCCTGAAAAAAGAAAAATTAAGTACATTGCCAATCCTAAATCTATTAACATTCAAAGCAAAAAAAAAAAAAAAAATGTTAACATAGCCATTCAAGAGTTGACTGTTACCTGACGGAGAGAAGAGCGAGGACGAGCATGGGAGGGGCGATCTTGAGCGCCAGGGCCTTCTCGAGGAACTTCCACGTGATCGGCACGTGGTTGGCCCAGCAGATGTGGTTGACGAGGAGGTGAGCGAGGTCCGGCGATGGCAGAGGAATCCCCGCCGAGTTGAGGCAGGAGCTGAGTTGAATCGCCCACACGACAGGATCGCAGTTCTTCTCCTGCGCCGACTTCGTGATTTCCAGCACGGTGTCCCACAGATGACTCGCCGCCTTATGTACGTACACCGCCGCCATGGCTCTCTCCTCCGGTGATTCTCTCACTCTCTCCTCTTTCTCTCTCCAGAATCTTCCGAGTCCCGAACACCACAGTTGCTTCCCAAATCCAAAGCTTTTGCTTCGTAAGAAAGCAGAGTTGGAGAGAAAATCTGTGAGCTTTGTGGAAGTCTCGAAAATGAAAGAGAAAAAAGCACGAACAATAGGGGAAAAGTCTGGGGAATTGGCTGGCTGATTCCTATCATATCATGTGTAATAGGTTAGACGTGACAATTTGGTCATATTCTTGATAAAATAATCCTTAATGTTATTAAATTAGTATAATTAAATTTTTTTGTCCAATTCCATTAAATTTTAAACGTTTTATACATGTCATCTTGTGACATTACTTTTATAGTAAAATTATAAAAATATTCCTAACATAAAGCAACTCACTATTTTTTAAAATATCATAAAAAAGAAAAGAAATAAAAAGTAAGGTCTTCTTCCCAATGTGAGCAAATCTAAAAAAAGTACTCAAGATAGACTTAAGACACATTAATTTACCATCAAATCAAAAAATAGGTAATAGGTAATAATTTTTTAAGAATAATTTTTTAAGATCGTTTCAAATAAAATTAATTTTAAGGAGAAAAGAATCAAATGTCCTTGTGTATTTTATAATTGAAAAAAAACCCAAAACAAAAGGAAAGTTTAAATTTTTATACAAAATAAGGCATGTTTTTTTAGAGTGTAACTTGAGTGTAATTTTTGAGTTGAATTTGAGTTATAACTTGAGTTGAAGTTGTAACTTGAATAAAGTTGAGTAAAGATGAATACAATTAGAACTTAAAAGAACATGAACTTTTATAAAATTAAAACTCGAGTTGTCTTTTTTTGAGTTTTTTAAACAAAAGAACATACCTATCTCCCGTAACCTGATAGTTCCTGACCATCCCTTTCTACGAGCACCGCCGACAAGTGTAGGGAGGTTTTGATGGACATGTGCTCGAAGAAGCTGGTGCCGATCTGCCTTACATGAAGTCGTTGTTCCTCGGTTGGTTTGAGCCGCTTACGAATGCCATTTAGCAGTCCTTTGTCTTCTGTCTAGTTGTATAGGCTATGTCTTGCCCAAGCCACCAATAGATTACTGAATTGAATTGGAGGAAAACCACGTTTAAAGGTTGTTAGCATTGTTAATTCTTAAACTACAAACATTATGACCCTTTCTTCCTAAATTTGCACGAATCCTTGCGTTTAAAATCGTGGTGCTTGTCTTTGAAAAAGCAGAAGAAGATCATTTGCTTTCTTCACCTCAGCTTCAGTCATTATAAATCTCACAACAAAAATCTCACATTTAAATTTTAGTAATCTAATATGTTTTGCTCTTCTCTTTCATTTTAAATTTTTGATCTCTCATATGGGTTTTGCTATTTTTTTGGTAGGAGGGTTGGAAGAGTTTTTTTTTTTTTTTTTTTTTTTTTTTTTTTTTTTCTTCTTAGTTTATGAGTTTATGTTTTTTTCTTTTTGTTGTCCTTTCCTTTTAAAAAAATAAAAATACCCTTATCTTGATATTTGATTAAAATACTATCTTTTATAAGATTACATATCTTACACATTAACAAAAAATTAATAAAATTAGACGGAAAGAATTTAATTATATTAATTTAATAACATTAGAGGCTATTTTATTAAAATTAAAAGAATAAAGATTAAATCATTACTTACAAAATAAGTTAAAAGAACTATCAATAAAGAGCGTTAAAGATAATAAAGTCAGCTTCTACGGTGCGTCTTCAGGGTTCTTGCTTTGTTCATTGGTGCTTTTACGCATCGTTGACCGGTGTCGTTTTCTTAACACAATTATTAAAAGAAGCAAAAGTTAATTAAGTGAGGAAAACTTGAATAAGAGTTTAATTTGGGGGAAAAAAAAAAAAATTTCCCGTGTTGTGAACGTGGAAAACCTGGAGTGGTCTCAACGATTGCTGTGTCCCGCGACATTTTTTGGTGTTTTTGGATAACTATCTTTCTATGTTGATTTGTAGTCATTTATACATGAGAAAATAGTCCCAATTTTAATGACTTTTTTCACATTTAGATTTGATTTTAACGTGGCAATGCTACCAACCATGGGCAGCGAAAGTAACAGTAAGATTATTATTATTATTATTATTTTTTAAATATAATTATTACTCACAAGTGGTGTTTGGCAGTTTTTGTTTTTATACTTGGTAGTAACATTATACTACTTCGCAAAAGTCCCAGCAAAAGATTAGCCTCGATTTATTATTTAATTTTTTTTTGGTTGGGAAAGGCAACTATAACCCCCTACTTTTTTTTTTGATAATTTATAACCCCCTACTTTAGCTCCAATGGCTATTGACTGTGGATGTGATTATATAGGTACATTTTGGCCTCGTTCACTTTGCGGATTCGAGTTGAGATATGATATTTTCTGAGAGCTTTTCACTGTAGTAGAAAAAAAAATTAGATTTGACATTTTCTGAGAGTTTTTTACTGTAAAAACCTAAAACTGAAAACTCGAATCGGTGAAATGAACGGAGCCTTTATTTATGCAGGAATTTCCACGCAGTTAAGGTCAACAAATATACAAAATTGACAAGTTGTGCATATGTTATACTTCACCTCTTTTTTTCTTCTTTTTTTTTTTTTGTTGTTGTTGTTGTTGTTGTTGTTGAAACCAAGCATCAGCACAAGTTGTGTGTGACATGGGTGGAATAAAGTGAACTATGGTTTCTTCTTTGCGTCTCTTTTGCTTTATCAGTAAAAGAGGATACATGAGTACTGAATGTTCACTTGAATAATTTCAACACGTAATGTTAATTGTTAAGCTAATATTTAGACGCACTATCCCCACAACAGAATTATTCACTACAGAAAGCCTCCGAATATCAGAGCATCAATGCCAGAAGAAAATAACCATTTTGTTATATGTATTCTGGCCTTGATCTAGGCAACAACACTGGTAATTTGATCTGGACATGTTGGTAAAGCTCATCTGGGGTCATCTTCTCCGAGTTCCTCGGTGTTACATGAAGCGAAATCATCGGAGAGGTTTTGGGAACCGTGAGTAGCAAATGAACCCTCAATGCTTTACTTGTGATGTTCCAAGTCACACATTCTATAATTCTATTTTATGCATCATTAGTTAAATCACTAATTGGCTTAGTACATCGTTTGAACCGAATAAATTCAAAAGCACATGGATTAAATAAAATTGATTTCAGGAGACAGGTTCAGATTGGTAAATTAAGGGTTCAAACGACAAACTAGACTTCAATATCAAAGTACATGACTTGGTTGTGACAAAGAAATAATATGAAGAATGAAAGAATAACATTCTAGTGGTGTTTCTAGTAGTGACAAGCTTATCTTAATCATAAAAAACACCAGTCTTAAAATATTTAGGTTATGAGTTCGGATCCTCCTAAACTCAACTTCAACTTCAATTTCTAATAATGATAATACTTTGTAATATTTTACATTTCAACTGGAAAAACACATCACTTCTGAAAACATTTCTATTTTGATTCCAAAGCTATACACATCTCCTTGGGTTGACACTTTGCTTCCCATGCCATATTCTGCAATATCTCACAAGTCCAATAAAAATATTGGAGTTAAAATTATGATATGGATATATCATAATAATCCATCATAAATGCATACACGCAAGCATGTGAAGATACGACATATGTTACACACCTACACACACATACCCACATGGGTGTATCAAACAAAGATTCGAATTCAGAAAATCAGAGTATGAAGTAAAGCGCAATCATTTACGATATTAAGAAGACAACTAGTTCGAGGAAAAAAAAAAAGAAGGTAAAGTTACCTGGGGCTGCATGTCCAATTGTTCCTCTTATTCCCAGAGAGCTTGAGTGATTCTGGGATATTTCAACGTTATCTTCTGCAATAATCCCTGACAAGCCAAAATGGCTCACGTGTGTGGTCATGTCTTGATCAAGCAGAATGTTGCTTGGCTTTAGGTCACAATGAATAATTGGCGGTTCACTGTGATTATAATCCAATGCTGATGCCACATCAATGACCATATTCTGTCGCAGAGCCAGAGTTAAAGCTTTTCCTCTGATTTTCCCCAGTTTGTGGAGGTAGATGCAACCAATCTTCGAAACTTCCGTTTGGCATGAGCTCATAAATGAGGGCTTTGGAATCATTACCTTGAAAATCAACACTTGAGCAAGCAGTAATGATTTTCACAAGATTTCGGTGTCTCATTCGGCCATGAAACTCTTGGAAGCTCCTCTTCTTTCAAAACGGCCACAGACGATGGAGATTATCAGCTTTACTGGGAAGGACAAATGTTGCTTCCTTGGCAATTTCCTGAAGCATGGTGTTAAGTGTAATTGAGCAATACCACCACAAAGCTTACTATTACCAGCAAGTGAAACATTTGCACTGACGTTACTGAAAATACCTCCACTTGGCACTTCACCCTCAAAATGATTAAAAGAAAGATTCAACATTGACAAGAAGACAAACTTGCCAAAGTCTTTTGGGATATGTAAAGAAAAGTTAATTGTGTGAGAGATCAATTTCCTCAGTAGCTTTCAGGGAATGCAAAGATTCAATGGTTCCTTCAAACATATTATGATCCATATAAAGCCATCTTAAGCTTGTACACTCTCCAAGGCTAGCTGCTAGGAATATTACTGGTTAACTGATTGTAAGAAATGTCCAAAGCAGCAAGATTTTTCAGAAGGGATGAGATGCTCCCTAGATGAGGTGGAATGCTTCCCTCCGACTTGTTATGCACCAGATATAGTTTCTCCAACTTTGGTAGAACGCCTATCTCAAAAGGTATGTTACCAGTGAATTGATTGTAACGCAAATAGATAATTCTCAACTTGGAGCAGTTTGATAAACTACTTGGTATTTGTCCTCCCAACGAGTTGTTTGCCAAAAACAACAGTTGCAATCTAAACAAGCGACCGATCTCATTCGGTAGTTCTCCACAGAAACTATTGTTGGAGACATCGAGTACTCGAAGAAAACTGAGGTTCCCAACGGAGTGAGATATGGAACCTTTCAAACTAAGCGACCGTAAATTCACTTGGGTGACTCTTTGGTGCTTGTGACCACAGGAAACACGATGCCACTGGCAGAAATGGAGAGACATATATATCCTGAAATATTAGGGTTTTTTGTGATACTCCGATATATAGCCTCCTAGAACTCCTA